AAAGATAGACTTTTAAAACTAAAAAGTGCGGCGGCGTTTTTATTCGGCTTAAGCAGCTTTTTTAATAGCCTTTCGTTCATCTTTTCGCTATATGCGGTTTTCTCGTTCGATATTAACTTAGATCTTTCGAGCTTTACGTGTCTTACGACTTTGCTTTAAGTCGTTTGAGCGAAGGCCGGTAACCTTTAGTTCGGATCCGGAATTAAAAAAGAATATTTAACGGTTCGAAAAAGGGTTTCGTAAGACGCTCGACGATTATAAAAGAGATAAGCTAAAAATTTGTTTTTTAAAACGGCCACGACGCAATTGCGATTCTAATAAGATACGAATAGCAAGCTTTTTTAAGCGACCTCTTCGCTTTTTTATTAAAAAAGATAAAGACGAAAATAAAAGTTTATTATCTTTAGAATCCTTTTTTTAATTATTATTTCGCTATAGTTAATAAGACGGTAGCAAAGTATTAAGAACCTCTTTAAAAGAAGCTATATTATCCGTATTAAGTATATTAAGTAGTAGCAAAGTATATAAGATCAAAACGATAAGCTTGGATCGCAGATTAAAAGAACTTAAGTAGTATTAATAACTCTAGTAACTTAAGTAACTTAAGTAACTTAAGTAATATACTTAAACCGCTTATGCTTTTTTAGAAAGCCTTAGACTCTGCTGCAAATCTAATACGCCGATTCGAAAGAAGTAAGCTTTAGCAAATTAATAACTTTAATAACTTGGTTAGAAAGACTTACTTATGCTACTTTGCGGCGGCTTACGTATAGAACTATACGAACTTCTAACAAAACCTGAATCTTGCACGCGCTAAGCCGTAAAATCGAAACTTTAATAATATTAATAACTTTAATAACTTTAGTAACTTTAATAACTTAGCTAAAAAGACTTACTTATACCACTTAGCGCTAGCTTACGCATAAAACTACCGTGTGTATCTCCGCTAAATCTAACTATATTACTATTTCGAGTAAGCTTACGTATAGAACTATCATATATACTTTTATATAAACCTTTAACAAAACTTAAAACCTAAGTGCTTTAAGCCGTAGAATCGAAACCTTAATAATATTAGTAACTTTAGTAACTTTAGTAACTTGGCTAAAATAACTTACTTATGCTACTACTTAAGCCATTTTAAGTAATCCCGCGTATAAAACCGTATGTATCTTCGCCGAAACTTGAATCTTAAACGCGCTAAGTCGTAAAATCGAAACCTTAATAACATTAGTAACTCTAGTAACTTTAGTAACTTTAGTAACTTTAATAACTTAGCTAGAAGGACTTATTGATGCCACTTAGCGCTAGCCTACGCATAAAACTACTATGTGTATCCTCGCTAAAACCACTTATGCTACTACTTCGAGCAAGCTTACGCGTATATCGTAATAAAGAAAGCGAAAGCGGGCTAAGCCGAATTGCAAGATCGCGTAAGAAGGGTGGTTTGTTTAAGGTACGCCGCAATAGAAAAGATGATCCATAAGAGTATTTGCGAAAAGTACGCTGCGTAAAGTAAGGGTGATTAAGCTTCAATAGTGAATATCGTAAAGAGCGTGGTTTTCGTAAAGAGGCTCGTAAAAGAGAAGCTGCAATTAGAGCGCGCCGAGGTCGGCCGCGAGGCTTTTTTGCTGGTAGATCGTGATCGTCACTAAACGGAAGTAAAGGATGCTTTGCTTTGTATACAGATTTAGATGCTTTGTTTTTAGCTCTATAATCATTGCAAAAAGCGAATATTTTACTTTGATTATAATTTTGAAATGAAGTAATAAGTTGAAGGGTGTTCTTAAATACACATCGCGTTTAAGTATAAATACGAAAGTTTATATTGTGAATTAGTAGAGGTTGCAATAATACTTAAATAAGTGATAACTTATAAAGGACGAAAAAAGTAAGTACGTAATTAATACGTGCAGATGCTATAAAGTATTGCGCGTGCTGCTAAGCTACTTGTCTCGATTAAGTTTAGCTGTTGTATATGAATTAAACGAGCCGACCCGTTCCGAAAAAAGTTTAATAGATTGATATAAAATAAAAGTCTTAGCACGCTTAGAAATCTTGCTAAACCGATATAAAATAGTCTCACGTGATTAGATGACTAACCACTACCATAACCCTTAGATTACTTATTACTACCACAACTACTGGAATTTATCTTGGGTCACCGTTGGTGACAATAATTAAAAGAAAGCGTTATCAATGCTATCGAGAAATTAAATAAGTATTATAAGAAAACGCAAAGGCCGCTAAAAGATATTTTTGCTTTCGCGATAATCTTATATCTTGCTATTAAGCTAAAGACTTTCGACTTAAATTTTTCTTAACTTTACGAAAGTAAAGATTGGTCTGCAATATATCAAGCGAGATTCGAAAAGCTTTTTAACGAATATTATAAGTCTTTAATATCTATAACTCAACGTATTAATAATATTAAAGCAATCGATCGTTAACCGATAGCCGCTTTATTACTCCGCGGCAGATTAATGCTAAGTTCTTTTTTATAAGCTTTTTTCGAAGATACAGATCACGAGTCGTCGAAAGTGCATAATTATCTTTTAGCTCGTAAGTTTGAAATTTTAATTCAAAACTTTAATTTTATTGATTTTTATTAATTGAGTTTAGCGATCGACGGACGAAAGATTTTGACTTCTTGGCGAAACCTTAAGCCTCGATACCTTAATCTAGCTCGAATAGCTAGAGATTTTTTATGCATTTCTTTAACTAGTGTTTGCGTAGAAAAGGTATTTAATATTGCAAGAAATATTTGCGATTATCGTCGCGGTAATTTATCGCTATTAATAATCGCAAAAAAAATAATTGCTTTATATTTCAAGATATATAATACTCGCTTAAATAAAGCTCGGCACTTATTCGAATCGATTTTAATAAATTACAATAATTTAGATAAGGATTAGCTTGAAAAGGAATTCGAATAAAAAGTATAAAAGTTTTAAGAATAGCAAAATCGTTAATTTTAAAGCTTATCTTGTTTTAAATATATTTTTGCTTACGATAATCTTACGATCGATTAAGACTTTCGATTCTCGAACAATAAGTTTTAAGCAACGAAAGGCTAAATTAATAATATTAAAAGCTGAAGTGCGAGAATCACGTAAGTTTAAATAATATTGATTTTATAAATATTTATTAACTATATTAAATAAAAAAGAACTTAAATAAGTTTCAAGATATTGATAAAGATGTTTCGTTTAAAATGCGACAGCTACGGTACGGAAAGTCTTTAAATTACGAAGGGCATTCAAAAAGTAAGTTAATTTACTTGCGATATTTTTACTTTTTATCGATTTACTAATCGATTTACTAATCGATTTACTAATCGATTTACTAACTATCATATAAGATTATACAAAGCGCATTCTTCCGCTTCTTAAAGCAAAGTCGTAGCAAATCGATTATATTCTTTACAAAGAAAACCAAGCAAAGTAAATCAATCGAAAGTAGCTACGGATTTACTTTTCGATAAGCAAACTTAAGATAATACAGATTAAAACGTTCTTAATAATATAAAAAACGAAAACGATTCAGAAAATTCAGATTCGAACGGTACGAACGAATCGACTAGCTTTGAACGCTATATAAACTATAAAAATAAAGTGCAACGAAGTACGATATTATATAATATACGCTTTTATTTAAATATAAATTCTAACTTAAATATTAGCGATAGCAAATTTATGCGATCAAAACGATTCGAATGATATTTCTTAATAAAATTATTTTGACGCGGAAGAAATATCAAGCTTTAAGCAAAGTGATGAAAAGATAATAAGTAAAAAGGAAGCTGATAGAATACCGGACTCGGCTTCGCTATCTTATAAAACCTTAAATGCCGCTCAATCCTCGAAACCTAATATTTCGAAACTTAAAACTCCTTTAGTCGTTATTCAAAGTCAAAGTAAATCAATTATTATATATAAGTTTAACGATTTTAAATCTAATACTTTTATAAGCGAACGAATTACAAATCTATCATCAACTTTAAAGCGCAAACGAATAGAAAAAAAAGAAGATAATGAAACGGGATTAGTACAAGATAAAAAGAAAGAAGCTTTTTCTAAAATCAAGCGTTTAATTGCAAAGAGTATCGCTCTTGCTAAGTTTTATAATTAGCGACTTTGATTTTATTTATTAAATTGCTTTTTTTATATCATTTAGTTTTTGTATTTATTTGTTTACAATTGATTGCAATAATTAATTGAATTCTTTTTTATCGATATCTTTAGTTTTTTTATTATTATTAATATATCTATATCGACCTTAGCTAGCTAGCTAAGAATACCGGTAGTAATAGTTAAAAGAAAAGTTCACCCGTGAACTATAGTTCACGAGTTAATTAGCATGCTTCGCTTAAAATGTTACATTAATCAAAGGACCTTTAACTTGATTATAAAACCTTTTAATTAGCTAGTGCACGTAATTCCTTTAATCATAAGTATTACTTTTATTAAACTTTAAAAGAGCTGATTCTTTTTATAACTATTAAGTTTTTTAATAAAGTTAAGTTATTCGTAAAGCCATATAGCCCGTAAACTATAGTTTACGAGTAAGTTACGTATAGCAGCTTTACGTACGCTACGTATAGCAGCCTTACGTAGGTTACGTATAGCAGCCTTAAGTACGTTAG